AGTAGTAGTAGTACGACGACGACGACGACGACGACCACGACGACTACTACTACCAGTATCAGTACCACTACCATTACGACGACGACTACGACTACGACTCCGACGCCTACGACGACGACGACTACTACTACTAGCAGTTGGCTGGATGCTTGCTGCATGCGGTGTTCATGGCCTCTCTGCTAGCTTACAGGCAATGCGATTGGCAGAGAGTCTGCGGTGTTTCGCACTTCTTGGCAGCATCTCATGCACGGCAGCGCTGCCGCTACTGCTGCTGCTGCTGCTGCTGCTGCTGCTGCTACTGCTACTTGCTACTTGCTACTGCTACTGCTGCTGCTACTGCTACTGCTACTGCTACTGCTACTGATACTGCTGCTGCTGCTGCTGCTGACACTGCTACTGCTACTGCGACTGTGACCGAGACTGCGACTACAACTACGACGAGGACGACGACGGCGACTACTACTACGACTACTGCTGCTGCTGCTGCTACTACTACTACTACTACTACTGCTGCTCTTTTCTTCCGATTATGAGGCTTAGCAGTATCATTGTTACGATCATGATTATCATGATGAACATTTTCTAACTTGATGATGTTGATGATGACGATGCCGATGCCGATGTTGATGACAATGACGATGATGTTCGTACAGCATCATATAACCTACGGCCTACATGTGGTAGCAGTTCAGGGACCTGAGGTCCTGGCGGATGCCCAAATATCAGCCGGCTCAGCCGGCCTTGCAAAAGTTGTCACAGAATCTTTGACTCCAGGCTCCTACATTCTCGGATTCAGGGTGTCGCATTGATTCTGGGATGCTGCGCATGAAGACTTTCGACGGATACTGTAGCCCTGCAGGTCCATCTTACGACCTAGCCGGCAACATCGGGCAACTTCAAGGTGGCTGTAACACACTGACTGACATCTCTCAAGCCTCAAAGCTGGGCTGGCCGTCGGAGTCAGCCAGTCTTGTGGAAAGTCGAACGCGCCACCTCGAGCAACTGAACTCGGGCAAAGGCGGACGCAGTTGCTAACAAACGGCATCGCAAGAAGCTAGCTTGGCGAAGTGGCCTGTTTCGTCGCGAGGACGGCGATTGCGCTTCTTCCTTGAGCGCGAGGCCGGTCAAGAAGCTTTGCTCCAATTTCACTTTGGCATTTCAGCTGCGGCCCAGCTTCTCTGCTGACCGCTCTGACGGCTGCCGTGCCCAGCCTTCTGAGACCTGCGACAGAGTTTAGGGCTTGGGATCCTGCGTCCAACTCGGAACCTCAGCGTGATGAGTGATGAGAGTCGATCCAAGTGTGTTTCTCGACACTCCAGATGCTCAATTCCTACAGGATCAGGGGACCTCGTAAGTAAAGTGATGCATTGGATAGCTTTAATTTTTAATTGTAAGTAATAGCACATAATTTCGGCACTTTATAACCACATTTACCAAGCCGCCTGATCCTTTAAATCCGACAGAGGACCTCCGCTGGCTTCTCCTTGCGAATCTCGCTATCGAGCATTGCTTTGACCTCGATGCCATGCAGCATTGGGGGGTCTGACTTCAAAAAGGAGGGTTTAGGGTTTAGGGTTGTGTTGCCGTAGCAGTCGAAGAATGCGGCCCGTCAGGTGCTTAGGGCAAAGCTTTCACCGAGGCCATGCATTCTTCACCAAGGCCCCTGTCGCAAGGCATGCCGGAAGCAACCTGAAAAAACACTCAATCTACAACCCATCTGGATGAAAAAACCACCGCTGACTCTCCCTCTCAGCTAAGTCTAAGTGGGGCTCAGTGCCGGACTTGCGCTACCTCGTCCCGGCTCCAGGGATCTAAGGCCCTCTCCCCCTGGCGCTTTTGGGCTCTGAGACTTAGGCAAGTTGGGGGGGGGCCCTTGGAATATCCGGTTTTTTCGATGATCGTAGTGTTTGAGGTAGGTGTTTACATTTGGGGTCTTAGGATCTCAGCTGACGGGGGCTTCAGGAATTTGAGGCTGCAGAGTTTTACGGCTTGGTTTGCCTGCTTTGGGCTCCTGGTTCGGGGATTCGGATTTTGGGGGTTTGGGCTTGAAGCAGGTCTTGGGATTGTGCGCTTTGGGGCCGGGGTCTAGGGCCTTACAAGGGTTCAGATGGATCTTCGGGATTGTCCTTAATCTTCACATCATGGGGTGGTCTGGGATTAAAACCGTCAAGGTGGTGAGAGTTTGGTGGGATATGTGCGAGGATGCTAGAACTGCTCTCGCGCGGGACTTCACTAAGCTCAGCGACTCAGTAGTGCGAAAAATGTTGGGGACAGTACCATCGCAGGATTAGGTTGTTGTTGACGACCTTCTTGTAGCGCTCAGCTCACTATGGACCCGTTCAGAAGAGCTGTAGCTGAACGTAGCGGAACCACGAACCCTCGCGTCTGCAGACAGTTAGGTACCCAGTATCTCCTGTTACCGGTTCTGAGCGTGAGGCAGATGAATTCTTCCTGTCGTCCGGGATAGACCAAGACTGGCACGGCAGCTTCGGTTGCAGCAGTTTGTCAGCCGTTTAGAGCTGAGGAAGAACGGGAATTCCATGCCTCGCTGTCATTGAACAAGTCAGAATGCTCCTGCATGCCAGGTTTCCAAGCAAAATCCTCCGGGCTACGAGAGGCCACGGCAAGTTTGACATGCCACGCAAGGCACCTGGTACTGATCGTTGCGAGAAAACATGTTGGTGACTCCATTCGTGACGCGCGACATCTCGGCACACCGGAGAAGGTTGGGACTGCTGCACTCAACATCAAGCACACCCGCGACCAAGCCCATCCCGTGCCAGTGCTGCGGATGGAAAGACTGGGATCTCTCTTATCGGGGGGGATCATGAACATACTGCGGCGGCGGAGATCAAGACCTGATCACAACGCCAGGTATGCGGCCAGGAGAAAGTGAAAGAATGAGAACACCAAGGATTAAGTCAGAGGAGTAAGTAGTACACATACACATTTGGTTGTGGTTCAAGTTATGATCACACAGAGTACCAGAACCTCAGGCTAAAGAATGAACCCTACACCCCAGGCAATTCAACTGGAGATCCAAAATCTCCAAGATCCGAGCCGATGTGGCCGCCGATGTGACGGCTGACGTAAACATGCTTGCCTGTGCGAGAAGGCTAGATTACTATATACTTTCTGTGCCCGTACCCAGAATCCTAACGCCAATGAACCCCAATATTACGACGCGCTATACCCGAAACAGCAATCCCTAAGATTACTAGTTGCTGTACCCTCTCCGCTAGACCACGACTTAGTTTTCTCTGAACATGATTAAACAAACCCTGAGCCTGCTTCGCTGAGCGCTGCCACGCCGAGCCTCGGGGGACTCAGGGGCGCTCGGACTCTCGTTTGACACTCGTTAAGGGATAGCGCATCAGGGTTCATGGTAAGCTCCGTTTGAGAGTTTAGGATACAAGAGCTTGGGGTATAATGGCTCATGACTGCACCCTCATACTTCCCAACCTTGGTTTCGGGCTCTTACCCATGACCTGAAGAAACACCGTGCAGACCGAGGAGCTCGAGAAGGTGCGTCGCGTTCTCTCGGCCAACGCCGAGTGCTCCCTCCCACTCGCAATGCAATCGCAAAGCTGGTAAATTCAAAGCTGCGAGGGCCGAGGCATGCAGACGCCGACTCTGCAGGCTGGGTACTACCTACAACGCGCCCTGGTGTGAGGATTTGTAGCTCCGGGCTTGGTGGCCTTGTTGGGATTTCTGGCTTACCAGATGAAGTTGAAGTGAAGTGAATCAAAGAGCTTGACCGCTGCAGACTCAAGCTTTTTCCGTCTGGCCGGCAACCATCTCAGACGCAGCCAGGAAGCGCTTCCACATGCTGCGAGCTCGTTTGTAGACCTGGACGAAGACTTAAGTTGCAACAAGACGCCAAGCCTGCCATGAAACTTCAAGAGGAAGCTGGCAGCTCACCAATCCTGAAATTCTCAAGCCATTCACCTTGAATCCTGATCTTCTAAATCCTGACAGCCTAAATCTCAGAACCCGAATCCCTGAACTGTCCTCTGCACCATTACCTCAACTCCGAAGCTCCTACCCCCCCCCCCCACAACCTCCGAACCCTAAAGGCAACGAAGTCCTCGACCCAAAAGCCCCGAACAAAGACAAACACAGCTTCCAGGACTGGCCAGATAAATCCCAGGCTCCAAACTACCAGGAACAAAGGGTGCGCTTCTACAGCTTTTCTACGATGTTACATCGCGGTCTGAAAAAAAAATCGTTCACCCATATCCGAGATAGACCACCGAAATTACAAAACTCCCAACTTGGAGCACCTTCTAAGGCCCATAAACCCTAATAGCTAATATTAATTAATAACATGTAATAACAGTTAATATTAGTTAATAATAATTAATAGTAGACCCTAACACCCAAAAGCATAAACTCGAAACTCGGGCCTTGGTATGGTTGTCGGCTTGGCCCACGGCCTCGGCCTGGAATCGCTTTGGCGCTCATCTTCGTTATTTTGGAAGGTGCGTTTTTTCTTGCTTTATCTTTTCGCTCGCCAATGTCTGGGTTAGGTGTGGTTTGGGGTCTAGGGTTTTGGGGCGGGGCGTTGAGAGATTCGGAGGTTCAGGGTGTTTGAAAGAGATTGGGCTTTTCGGGTTTGCTCCAGGTTTTGGCGAATTCGCGCTGTTTTCGGATGATTTCAGCGGGTTTCGCGTGCTTCTCGAGCTGTGCTAGCGGTGTGGGGCTTGTGGACAGTGTTACAATTTACCTTCTCACGGGATCCTTTTCTGCAGTTTGAACTTCGGCTCAAGAAGAACTCATGGCTGTTGATTTCGAGTGTGGAGGTGTAGGATTGAGACCCAATTTTCGGGGCTGAAGCTGCCCCCAACTAGCAGCAACTAAACTTAAATCCTAAACCCCCTGAAGCAGGCAAGGTTCCAACTTCCAACGGCATTGTCACAGGCTCTAATGACCGGTAAGTCATGCAAGCCTCCCACCAGGTCGTTTCCCAGGCTTTGATCCAAAGCTCCTGCGGAAATTGACAGGCTCTGCTCCTGTCTTCTTCATGCACAGCAGGGGCCCCGCAACTTGCGAGCGACACGCCAACCCATAGTACTGCATTAACAGTATGGTCCTATAGTGACAGTCCTGCTTTGTGGGGCTTTTCGCCTGGACCTCACTCCTCCGTGTGTTCTCCGATGCCACGGTCGTGGTCTCCTCAAGGAATTCGCTTAGTCTCCAGATTCCGGGAAGCACGGAGCTGCATGAAACCCACACATCACCCCGTGAAAGACAACATACTGTGTCATGCCCCCCAACTATCATGTCATAGCGGTGGACTTGAAATTTTCTGAACTATAGTCGGGCCTGCACTATGCTCGAACTAGCCCCGAACAGGTGAATGTCAACACTTTCTGCACAGAAGCTTCTTTGCACGTTCCAGTCGGGAAGAAACTGGGGCGAAACTGCCTGAAATGTCACACTGCATCGCAACACCTGACCTTGATCAAACAGCACCTCATGCATCCAGCCGATCCGGGAGCAAGCCCGAGGTGCAATTCAACATTGCGGTCCTTCTTTGGGGCTTCCGTTTCTTTGAAGGCCCGCTTCTTTCCAAGCTGCACCTCTGCTGGCATTGGAGCTCTGGCGACGGTAGTGCTTCTGGCCATAGGTCTGTCCTGCGGTGTGGGCCGTGGCTTCAAGCAACAAATGCCCATTCAAGCCAAGCGAACGATGAAGAATACTGCCATCATCATCATCATCATCAACAACATCATCATCATCGTCATCGTCGTCATCATCACCATCACCATCATCTTTCTGCCAGTCCCGTGAGTTTTTGGCCTCCCGCAATCGTGCCTCCACAGGGCCGTGCATTGTTTTGGTGCGGTGCCGCCCGCCGAAGTCGTGCTCCGGCAAGCGTGCGGTCTGTGCTCCGAGGTGCCCATCAGGCTCCCGTTATCGGGTGGTGCGCAACGTGGTCTTGGGAGCCTGGGGGTGCCTCGCGGACTAGGGCTGTTTCGTTGTTTTGTGTAAGCTGGCATGCTGACAAACTTATTGCATCCAGGCCTGTGCTCCTTGTTCCGGCGGCTTGCCGGCGACGGGTCTCTTCATAGAGCTTTCCTCGTGGAGGCCGTTGCGAGCACATGTGGGCGCCTTAGCTGATGGAGAACTCTTTTGCTGCACTGGTCGGAGGGCCTCCTCCATTCTCCCTGTCGGGGTCGGCGTTAAAGGGTATTCGAAGGGTGCAGTGCTCAGCTGTTGCGAAAGAGGATACTCCGGTAGGCTTCCTGCTGATAATTTACGGACTGAAGGGGGCTTTAGAACTGTTCGGACACTGAGCCTTCTATGCAGGGCCTCTACTAAGGTCCATTAGTTCCGGCTTAGGGCCAGGAAGCTCGTGTACCCACACACGATAGCATTGGGTCCTGTGAGCACCAAGCCGGCACCTTTAGTCCCTTCGTCCCATGTCGAAAGATCAACTCTGCGCTGTGCGCTGTAGCCTCTACATACTTGAACCTTACCTCCAGACTTACTACAAGCTCAGCCAGCCGTTTAAAATTGCAAGCAGGGCGCTTCGCGGGACCGTTCTGGAGGTGCCGGTCTCTGCGAGTCTTTGTCGCAAATCTGCGGCTCCTAAACGTGAGAAGCCACGGGAGGGCAGGTGTGAGCTGGCCGGGGCTCAGAAAATCCTACACTCATATGCAGTCCTGCAGCCACGTTTCCAGCTCCTGCTTTTTGCTGGACCTCGGAAAACTGCAGTTCGTGATGTAAGCCTGTATAAACATCCTGTAGACTGTTAAAAAGACCTACTCTTCTCAGAGAAAAGTGCGAGCAAGCAGCTGACTGTCGCTGGAAGCGGCCGGTGTGGCCTTGGCATGAAAGGCACCTCGACAGGACAAGTTGCGGCCCTCTGTGATTCAGAGGTAGTGACAGGTAGTGGTATGGTTGCTACATTGGAGGGCTTCTGCTGTCATGAATCTGCATCGACAGCTCTAAACAGCTTCAGCTTCTCCCATGTTGCTTGATGCAACAGTTCCTTCCTGCTGCTTCGGTGCTTTTGAGAAGGAAGCTGCGCACGAAGCGCCCTCGCTTGACCTGATTCGGAAGCCTTGTCTGCCCCTGGATGCATGGGGCCCAAAAAGCATCTGCAGGCAAGCTGCTGTGAAGTTCGGGAGCCATGGCAGGATCCTTGGAGATCTCCTCCGGGCCCCGGGGCAAAGGTGAACAAGCGGCAGCAGTGCAAAAAAAGCCGGAGCTGTGCCGTGATGAAGAGGCAGAGTGGAAGACAGAAGCACATTGGTGCGGGGAGAGCTTTGACCCAGTCCTCCATCAGCAGGAGGGCTTCTAGCAACGCAAGCAGGTCCCCCTTCCTGTCAACCTGTCGCCGGTTTCGTGTCCCGAATGCTTCCCATGCTGCGCAGGAGAGGCGAGGCTCCGAGGTTGGGAAAACGGATGCAGATCTTGGACACCCATACAGCTTGAGAAGGACCAGAACCTGTTATCAAGATAGATTTGGCCTCAGACCCCAATTCCCCTGCACCCTAGAAGCCTAAACCCACAAAACCAATCCTAAAACTCCGAGTCCTGAAACACTGGGTTGCCTGCAGCGAGGGCTCCTGCAGCTTCTTGAGCCTGCCGGCCTCATCGATCTCGGAAAACTGTTCATCAGTCTGGCTAATGTAGGGCCTTCATAATTGAAATAGGGGTTTGGGGATATCATGCAAACTCATGGTGTGCCTCTTCTGGGCTGAACTGCTTTACAAGCCTTTCAAGCGATTCTGAAGCAACGTCATTCTACTCACCTGTGTTGTTGTCGCAGTAAAAAGCCATGGCCGGCATGCAAACTCTCAAAAGGGTGAAATGATTCCTTAACCGGTGGCCTCCGCAAAGTCCTCCTTGGCGACTGCCTGCTTCTTCAAGTGCTGCAGCCTTCAGCATAAGGCAAACAACCTTCATACGCTAGAAATGGGGCACCGGAGCGGCTGTTGGCTGTAGCTTGTCAGTCTTCTAAACCCCAAACCCTGAACCCTAAACCCTGAACCCTGAACCTTAAATCCTAAACCCTAAACCCTAAACCCTGAATCCTAAAACCTAAACCCTGAACCTTAAATCCTAAACCCTAAACCCTAAACCCCAAACCCTAAAACTCCAAGGCAGCGAGCTCAGCCAGCTTGTGAGCGAGGGGCTTCTCTGCAAAGTCCACGGATGCCGGCAGCACAGCCTCGCAGAAGCAACGCTACGAAAGGAAGTACTGGCATATAGCAAAGATCCGGAGGTTTCTTGGAGGGATTCAGGGGGATGCGGAAGGCATTCTCTAGGAGTGGTGATGGGGCTTACGACATGGAGTATCCTTCGATTTAGGGCTCTGGATAAAGGTCCCCTCCGATTCTCTAGAAACTATTATCGCGATTCTCTAGCTTCCGGGCATTTCCGGGCTCTGAAGGCGGCTCCCGCACCACCTCAGGTGGCATATCACCAAATAAGCCAAAGCCAAAGCCACTAATTACGCCCTACCGAGAGCCCCTCCTGCACCACACGAGCCCACACGAGCCTTCAAGTGAGCCTTGACCCTGGAGCGCCTCCTGCCGGGCCCGCGCGAGTCGCGGGGCGAGCGCTGCCTCTGCCCTCTTCATCCGCCCAGCTTCGGAGAAGTCCTCCGAGCGAGCTGGGGCGGGAGCTCGAGGATTTTAGAGGGTTTTGCCTTAAGCTTGCCATTGCCATGGATAGCATGTTGTACTGCGTGTGAAATGCGCCCACCAGGACCCAACGGACCTCCGCAGCAACAGCCCGTCTTTTTAGAACTTGAAGACGTGCATTCTCCAGCCTGAGTGCTGGCAACCACCATTTTCCAGGATCTGTGCATTCTGATTTGCAGCTGGCGGGCAGAAGTTCACTCCAATTTCGCAGTGTAGATGCTGCAAGCGCGCCATTGCTGCACGGATTCATGTCAAACGAAACCACACTTCGCATAAGCGCCTCCTGCTGTTTCATTGGACCACGGTGGTAGACGGAGGCCACGCTTTTTCGGCGTGGTGCTTGCTGCGATATGGACATGCTGCTTACCATGCCATACTGTAAGCTGCAGCAGGAGCAAGCATCGACAGCAACTGACAAGCATCTCTACATCTCCAATCTCCAACAAAAGCAGGTGCGATTGGGTAAAGCTCACGGGGGAGCCAGTCGTGCGATCTGGGACATGATTCTGAATCTTCGACTTGCCCATCTGAAGTTGATGGACGCGCCTGTTGTCGCACTATCGGAAAGTGACAACGGAGTACGGCCATGCTCCTGTGCGCTCCCACAAAGTACCTCTACCATGACGATCGCGCAGACCCAGCATATGGGAGCATGGCAAACGACCCTCTCCCCTGCTGTCTTCGTCTCTGTCTTCTTCCACACAGTCGAAGGAGGGGCAGTCCCGCCCTTGCACGCGAGCGCGCACTGTCCTCCTTTGCTCCTCTCTCTCTCTCTCTC